AAAGAATGGCTGCTATCATGAAATCAACCAATAACAAATGCTGGCGGGGCTGTGGGGAAAGAGGAACTCTGCTCCACTGCTGGTGGGAGTGTTGAATGACGAAATTAAACATGTTAAATTAGAAATGTTAATATATAGTATACTAAAAAAAGCCTCATGGTCTTCAAAAGTTAGCTAAGAAATGCACAACTCTTCGTGTTGATATTTGTCTGGGTTCTTCAGAGACACAGCTGCAGTGGATTGTCGGAGTGCAGAGATCCAGATGGATAGAGAGATAACTCACAGAGGTGGCAATTCCAGATGTGCAATGTCACCTGACAGGCTGGAGACCTGGGAGAACTGCAGAGCCCTGGGTACCCCACCATAAGTACCAGTCTGGCCTCCTACATGGGGTGCGGATGCCTTTTTTCTTCTGTTGTCTGTGAGGCTTTGAACTCGTTAATTTTCTTTTTTATACTTGCCTTGCCAAGTTAATTTCTATGGGGCTTGTTTAGGAGGGAATCCAATAATTTTGTTCATGTACACAATGGCTGGTTGTGGAGTTCCAGTGAGGAATGGAATGAAATGTAGACAAGATCTCCTCCTCCCTCTCCACCAGCCTCCATCACTAAGTGTTTTCTGCATTTCCATGTACAGCATTTTCACTTCTCTCTCTCTCTCTTTCTCTCTCTCCATATATATATATAAAATGTTTCTGATATGCACACATAGATAAAAATGAAGATATTGTATGGATTATACTTTACTGTAATAAAATCTTGTGGAGATGATAATATATCTGCATATCAATTAATTCATAATGCAAAAATAGGTGCCAACTGGTACTTTCCTAGTTATGAGGTACTAAGCAGAGGGCTGTAATAGGGCAGAAATATTTTTACTTGGGCGAATAAAACCAAGGAGAAGACTCAGTCTTCTTAGGTCTTGTTATCTAGGGGACCAAACAAGATATCTTCTAATCAGAAATACATTAAATGTGTCAACCTTCAGGGTGGGAGAGGGAAGTTACCATATAAGTCTGAGGTTGGGAGGGGCTAGAGATTTCTCATAAAGTCACGATTAAACAACAAAAAATAATCTTTCTCTGATTGAATTTCTACCTAGAGAAGGAGAAGTGGACCAGCTCCCATGGGTCAGGTTTTAGTAGCTCTCGCCTTTCATAAGAGAGTCCTTCGTATGTTGAAGGACAGTCAGGAGACACAGACCTTGGTCTTCATTTCTGACACTCATGGTACTGGCTTCTGACCTGAGCCCTGACTTTCTTGCCAGGAGCTGCTCTAAGTTTTATCACTGAATGTGCTGTCCCTGGCAATCCTAATGTGCTCTATGAGGCTCTTCATCTCTTGCTTTCCATTACTCATTCCTTTACTGAGAGCTTGTTTAGGAGCATGAGCACCAGTTAATTGCATGGAGGCCACGCTCTGTAAATTTCTCAGTGGTGGTGCACTCTGTGTAAGTCCCAGTGCAGAGGGGCCCAGGGGCTTTTCCTGAGACTCAGAGAAATACTCTTTTGCTTTACACAATATATTTCATTCATTTCTTTGCAGAACTCAATTACAAACCCACGGAGAGTCCAACCAAAAGCCATCTTAGCAACTTAAACAGGCTGCATCTTTCCCTGGCATCCATTCTGCTCAATTAGATCCCCATTTCCCCAAGGCTGATCGTTCCTTAAGGAGACTCTTTAGCACTGTGTGTAAATATAAAGTTATGGGCCCTCACTTGTGCCTTTCTTCATATTTCCTGCAATAATGAAGATTAGAATAAATACTCAGCTTAAAATCACCTACAGAAATCTGTATGTGTCACTCATACAGAAAATAAGCCACCAAAATCACTTTACAAAATTGCCACAGTAATCACATAAGATAAAAACTTTGAAGGTTATCAAAACATATGTGTGGTAGATGAAGTATAAACAGGAGAAATTAGTGACCAGAATAATAATTCATGCATGGGCATTATGCAAGTCTGCTCCTACAGGTGCTAGAAGGAAAACTGAGCATTTAAACTAAGCAAGCCCAATAACATATAATTATTCCTGAGAGAAAAAGAACTACCCCTGCAAATTTGGATTAGTGGAAAGTGTTTAAATCTAATCATGCTGCTAGACACATTTTTCACCTTTTCTGCCCAGAAAGTGATTGTTTCCATAAGACTGGTGAGATCTTCTCTCAACTCAGAAAGATGTACAAGGCAGAGACTGAGGAAATTAATTTATGTAGATTGAAAGCAGAAAGCAGCATTTACTGTAGAGTGAAAGCAGAAAACCAGTACAAAATCAAAGGCCTAGAGCACTACAGCATCTGCTGCGAGTCCCTGTGAGAAAGCCAGAGGGTTGGCACTGGAAGACTGAAGAGTGTGTGGTGGATAGCAGGAGAGTCTGAGCTGGAAGCCTG